CACGATAGGCAGGCGCTTATTGTGAACATATACACTTATTTAATCCTTTTATCTTATTCTACTATCTCTGTCAGATAAGCATTTTTATATAATATTTGTATGCATTCATTTTTCTACTGAGCTTTGAAAAGATATTTTCACTTTTGCAATAAGTATAAAAGTTGATAAAGAGTGTATGCGGAATGTCTGAGACCGAAATTGAAACATAATAATCAGTGTGTGTGTGTGTGTGTGTGTGTGTGTGTGTGTGTGTGCACGCTCCGTGTGAGTGAATTTGCATGTGTCACTGTGTGTGTAAATATAATACACGGGTCAAGATGCTTTCAAGCTGGAGAATATGGGTTATAGTTACAAAAATTGCAAACAAATGCATTCGTCTACCTCCTCGTCCATCAATTACATGTCTGGCATAAAAAGTACAGAACTTGTAATCGGCAACAATTTCATTGAAATAGAGGGGGTGGGAGTGAGAGAGATGGAAAATATAGAATAGTATTCCAAATTACCCAAAATACCTTTACTTCCATTCGATCTGAAATAGACTATTGAGTCATCTATATTCCAAGGCCATCAGTTCCGAAGGAAAAAAAAGGAATCAAAAACACATAAGATCCAAGAGGGATATAGGAAATAAATATGTAATTCCGATAAGACGAAAATAATTTTAGAGGAACTCTTCATAAACTTTTGATGTTTAATAAAGTGTTAGATTTTGGGATCAGTATTCATGTCATCGGTGAAATTGCACTAATAACGGTCTTGACCTAACACTTATTGTATCAGAATTGTAGCAATGACGGTCGGGACTTACCACGTTTTGACTGAAATTGTAGTGATGAAGGTCTGGACTTAACAAAAGCTTTGTACAACTGTAGTAATGACGGTCTGAATTTCACATTTGAAGCAATACAATTAAGTGTTTCAGTTTAAATATTTAAAGAACATTTTTCAAAGTCTTCATTAATGAAAATATGTCAAAGACCTTGTTGAAACAAACCGTTTTTTTTGGATCGCAAGGAATAGACTCCGTGATGATTCTAATGGGATTCCTTCTAATGTCATCGTTAGATCCCACCACATACACCTTATCATCCCTGAATGGAGCAACACTGTAGGCAGATTTGAGACTGTCAGGACTGAGTACCATTTATATGCACACTTCAGACTCGATTTATCTCCTGACCATATATATTATTTACATACACACTTCATAACTGCATATCATAATCAGCAGGAATGAAAACATATTTCGATTTTGTTTTCTGTTGTGCAATATTCCCTCAGCAATATACTACAAATTGATCAGAATGTCAACATAACGAAAATCTCTCTACAGCGTTTTGTGGATAAGTATCACAATTGACATAACTGTTACGTCAGTCGAAACACATTTATAGAATCTGAAATACTATCATTAGTGATAAGAAACCTGTCAAGGCTATTGCTAAAACAAACTGCCATTGAACCGCGAGGAATATCCTCAGTGATGATTCTAATGGGAGTTCCGTCTGATGTCAGCTGGTGGATGTTGTTAGACCCCCGTCCCACCAAATACACGTTATCATCCCTGTCTGTAGCAACACCAAATGGTTTCTTGAGATTGTCCGCACTATATTTGTACATCATCCTACCATCCATGTCAAAACAGTACAGATAATTGGCCTTCCACACACTAATGTACACACGGGTACAAGATGAATTGAGAGTAACGTAAGTAGCTGAAAGGTCACACTGACAGTCAAATGGATAACACATCTCCTTTCCAGTACTTTCGATCAGACTCCATTAGCATTTACCATTAATACAGCTACTAGATACAGCTATTTTGCCATTTCCCGCTGATGCGACACCCCAACATTCATATCTGGTTTGAACCTTCCTGGTAGGTTTGATGGCTCCGCTTGTTATACACAGGAACTGAAGTGTTTTCTGAAGTGGTAAAGAGACACACACCTTCTGATGATTCACAACACAGACGTCCCATGGATTCTCTAGTAGTGTAAATCAGGCGATGTATTGGTATGAGGAATTCAAAAGAATATCTCTCTTGTTGTTATTATCTGCCAGTATCAATTGATCCCCTTGTAAATATGTGACCCCTCTAAAATCTGGAGTCTTATTATCTGGCCCTTTTATCTTCACAGCATTGACCATCTCAATCTGACGTTCCTTCAGTGACCTTTCCACTCTTGATATAGGAAACTGGGCACGTGTCTTTCTGCACATAACTCTCCCAATATCAGATTTCTGTGCCAGCAGGATCTTGATTTCTGATTCAACTTCAAGATTTAAATTGACAGCTCCAAGCTCTTCAAATTTCTTTTTTATCTGTTCTAAGCATAAATTCACCCGTGATATCATTCGGTCGGCCATGATAAATATCTGAAACATAAATAATTCAGAAAATGAAACATAAATCTATAGAATGATTCTCAATTACGTTTCATCACGTTTATTTACATTCTAATTTAGTTGATTGTAGGAAGAAATCACAGTAAAATATATTGGTTCTATATCCCAAAACATGTCATAACCTTTTTTATCACGCATCTTTATATTAATCAATTGCAATCGAGAGAGAGAGAGAGAGAGAGAGAGAGAGAGAGAGAGAGAGAGAGAGAGAGAGAGAGAGAGAGAGAGAGAGAGAGAGAGAGAGAGAGAGCAAAGATCTGCAACAGAAACATACATTTCTTTATTATTGCTAAGTCAGAAGGGTCTGAGTTCAGAATTCAGTGGCCCTGTCTCAAAACAGAAGAAATGTTATCAGCGATATGCAGCATTACAAGTGTGTGTGTGTGTGTGTGTGTGTGTGTGTGTGTGTGTGTGTGTGATTTGGATTTTGTTAACGTATCTTTAACAATTGTTCAGTCATATCGCTAAGATGTCTGCATTGTAAAGGTTTATAGTGATGATGGCACTTGGGCATCATGCAGCGGATATGTAGCATGATGTAGCACCCAGTCACATTATCCTGACCCCAGACCAACCAGTCTTAAAACTAACCTCTTAATGCTGAGCTCCTGGTAAGACAGCTGCTAGAACCATTTTTAAAAAGTCTTTGATATGACCCGTTCCCACTACAAACGTATGAAGGTACGACAAATTCTGACTTTCGTATAGGAGTCAACAAAATAATTTACGTGATACTACATTTTAGTGCTTTGATAATCAAATGAATTTCTGGAGCTATTATGGAAGGTAAATGTTTCCAATCAGTAAATGTATTTAAAAGAAATCCATGCAGGGACAGGAATACAAACATAGACATACAAAGAGAGATGAAGGAGAAAGGATCTTAACCGAGTGCTTATTTCAAATGAAATATATTAAATTAATCGAATAATTTTTATTCTTTGAGATTCTTGAAATTGTTGGACTATTTCCTTAAGTTTCATTTGAAATTAGCACAAATGTGCAATTCCTTTTATCACATGATGAAACCTAATAAATGACCCTGAAATACATTCGGATGCATCGGTCGTTAAAATTGCAAAATCTCTAATCACGCCCATTCTGTCATACGTATGTGATTAAGAGAGGATCTCCAATTGGCAAGTACTTAATACTGAATTTATGAAACAAGCTGAATAATTTCAAGCTTGACAGATATTATGCAACAAACATTTTATAAATTTAGTATCAAATTCGATTACCGATATCATTTACAAATAGATACAAATTGCAATTCAAAAGACACATATCCCTTTTGCAACACTGGATCGCCAGTGGAAATTCCTGTATGACGTAATGGAGTTCACTTTGTCAGGTCAGTTGGAATTGCTAAGGAACCAATTAAAATTGAATTTAGGAAACAAGCTGAACAATTTGCATCTTTTACTAATCTTGGCGAATAAAAGTTATTCAAATAATTTCGTACATTCAATATCAAATCATTTCCCATTGTGATTTTGCTTATACAGCTTTTATGTTTTCAGTGTTCACTCTTCAGGCCAAGATGGAGTTTTTGTGGCGCCATATACAGGGATGTCAGATTAAACTCTTTAAAATGTTTTAGTCGAAAAGTGTCGCTCTCACAATCATCATCATTACTTTGACAAAATCTTCAGCATTACTTTGACAAAATACACAATCTGAAGCATCATATGTACGAACCAATTTGTTAAATGTCACTGTCCTAAAATTTTGGTGAAATTTTTGAACTTTTTTGTCGAGATAGTAATGCGGCCTTTTTTCGTATTGGCAGGGAATTGAGAAAACAATTCATTGAAACGATCGACTTTGCATTAAAGATATATATCAAAAAGAAAATCTCAGAACATGTGAGGAAAATATCCGCTCACAAACGTATCAAAACGTCTTCCGTTAGAGAGTCTAAAATGAGTGGATCCCAGAACATATGGAACAGAATTTCATTCAGTCGGGACACCATCTGAGACGAGGTCTATACAATCCACTTTCCATCGCTGCAAAAAAAAAAAAAAAAAAAAGTCGACGCATGAGGACTACTACAACGAGAGAGAGAGAATGATTACCTCATGGATTGGTCCAGGAGACAACAGAAAGTAGAAGATCGATGCTTAGACCGTTCTATGAGAGAGAGAGAGAGAGAGAGAGAGAGAGAGAGAGAGAGAGAGAGAGAGAGAGAGAGAGAGAGAGAGAGAGAGAAATAAGGGTGGAGGGGTCAAACACAAGAAGCATTAAATAGATTACGATATGCGTGTGCCTCCTAATGAAGAAATTTACCGTAATCTCTACATGCTATTGCAACATTGTATCCATGGTATAGTGAACATTGTAGGTAAATCCCGTGGAAAGCGTACACATACTGTTACAACGACACATGTTGTTCTAGGTTGCTTGGTGTAAATTGATTTTTATAAGGGTTTCATCAAGCCCAAAATCTTTTTCTTTCATTTCACAGGTTTCCACGTATTTTTCCTGATAAGGATGAAAGAGTGAGAGAGTATTTTTTCTCGACACCTGTTTATGTCGTTAATGATAAATCAGTGAAATTAGTCATTGATATATGATTTTATACCGCTCCAGTGGCCTAGTAGTTAGAGCGTCCGCCTAGGATGCGGTAGGTCGCGGGTTCGAACCCTTGCCGAGTCATACCAAATTCTTTAAAAAATGGAACTCACAGCTGTACCTTTTGAAGCTCAGCATTAAGAGGTTAGTGTTAGGACTGGTTGGCCTGGTGTCAAGATAATGTGACTAGGTGGGACATCACGCCACATGTCTGCGTCATGATGCCCCAGTGCAAGACATCACTATAAACTGTCACACTGCATATATCGTGGTGATATGACTGAAAAATTGTTAGAGCTACGTTAAAAATCTAAACTTTAAAAAACGCTCATAAAAGCATTATTTGTAAAATGGTCTTTGCATATAATGCTATAATGTTTTATCGTAAACAAGTATATATTTACGTCAATAAAGTACTTTGAACTCTAACTTCGACTTGACTTAAATCTTAGATATATATCTTTACAATCGTACATCGGTAGAGAACTCTGACCTCTGGTAAGCTTGGCATCACCGGAATATCAAGTACATCTCTGTATAGTCGTAGAGAGAGAGAGAGAGAGAGAGAGAGAGAGAGAGAGAGAGAGAGAGAGAGAGAGAGAGAGAGAGAGAGAGAGAGAGAGAGAGAGAGAGAGAGAGAGAGAGACTTGTGGCGTGATTCTTTTCAAATTTGTCACTCTACACCGCTATTCATCTTTTAGTTCCGTTCAATCTATCTATTGGTTGTTTATGCGTAGCTAAAGGGACAACTACACCGTATTTGAATGTCTCAAAGGTTCCAGTGGCAGATGCAATTGTGCCCAGCTCTTCTTCCAAAGACACAAATACGTTCAACAATAAGTAAGCAATACAAATCACTGATCAACCATTATGTGGAGTTAGATGCGTAGCAGTTAGGTGCGATTGGTAAACAGAGACACCAATGTTATATAGTGCAAGGACTCAGCTGAGTTGTTTCGTAAATCGCTCAGTTTTACAGTGAAGTGGATTCGACAAAAGCTTTATTCATCAGCAGTCATCGTTATAACTCGTGATTATATTCGTGATTTTTCATCGGCCACTTAATATTGGATTTGAGATGGTCTCTTTGGTAAATCCATTAAGTCCGTGACAACAGTCATAACACTAGCGTAAACAGAGGTGTCGCACACAATATAGTATTATTATCGTTTGCCGTGCGTGCTCAGCAATGTAACAACATCATCATCATCATCACAGTTAGTGGCTTGTCCCCATCGGACAAGGTTGACTGCACAACGATCCTGTCCTGTCCGAAAGCGGTTCAGTGAAGTCTACTTATAATGTGGAAGGTTGAAGCCAGGAGGACAGACAGATGGTTCAGCTACGAAGTCCGTATTCGCGAGCCATTTGGACAATTCTGCCAAATGCTCCTGGACAAGATATGTAATTTGCATTATATTCATTTGTTTATTCATATTGTAAGATTAAAATAAATCCTCTATTTTCTCCATCAGATTTTATATTGTTTATATATTTAGATAAATGATTTCCTCACAGATAAGTAGTTAGTATAAGAAGTCATTATTTTTCTATATACATACATAGATTTTATCAGACGACTTTCTATATGCTACCAGTACATTATAATATTGCAACCCATTCAAGGCCTCAATTTAAGGATTGGCGAAGTTTCGAAACAGTAAGTAATACTCTAAATATAAGTCAGATTGTGCTGGGAATTAAACCGGGGTGAAAGCACGCTACTTTATACATACATACATACATACATACATACATACATACATACATACATACATACATACATACATACATACATACATGCATGCATGCATGCATGCATGCATGCATGCATGCATGCATACATACATACATACATACATACATACATACATACATACATACATACATACATACATACATACATACATACATACATACATACAGATACACATACACACACACACACATATATATATATAAATACACACACATATATAATATATATATATATATATATATATATATATATATATATATATATATATATATATATATATATATATATATATATATATATATATATATATATATACATACACACACATAGATATATACAGACAAACAGAGACATATATATATATATATATATATAGATAGATAGATACACACACACACACACAAATATATATAGATATAGAGAGATATATATATATATATATATATATATATATATATATATATATATATATATACACACATACATACATACATACATACATGCATACATACATACATACATACATACATACATACATACATACATACATACATACATACATACATACATACATACATACATACATACATACATACCTTGCAGAGCTAGCACTATAGCCTGGGTTTCTCCGCGAGATAAATGTAAGTGATGCAACAAGTCACACAGTTGCCACACCTCACCCAAAGCGGCGTGACGTTTAAACGAAGATGACCAAATCGGTTATCAATACCATTCACGGTGAGCTGTCTTGAATCGTGAATTTGTGTTCCAGAAACCACAATTAGACCACGAGCCGAAAAAATCATTGCAACAAAATCGATGAAAGCTTTAAACAGCTCAATGGCATGTGTTTTTTTTTTTTGCAAGAAACCCGTCCGTCAATAGTACCCGTAGGGCCGTTGATAATTTGGCAAGATTAGCATTCCATAATTATATTGTGATGCATGATAAGTAGCAGATATATTCGGAAATCTTCTATTTTCTTTCTTAATTCACCTGTGAGCACAAGGGAAAATCATCCAATATTGTTATTTTCCAGTGTCACAATTCATTCAGCTGATTAAGAGGAATGGTATTGCTAGGTGTATTGTATCGCTATAGCATGAATCCGTGGCAACTCTGACGCAGATTTATTTAAATATTAAATTGTCTAATTTAAAATATTGATTTTTTTCCCAATGAAGACATTTTACTGAGTTTACTCTCACTAACTCGGTGATGCAGTTTTAGAATTTTATTCCAAAGCTTACTTCGAGGTGGGCGACCTCAATTTGTTTTTTTTTTTTTTCTCCGCACAACCACACCACACGATCAACAACCATGATTAAAATATAATTGTTTTCACCATGATGAACCTTTCGCATCGACTTTTGTTTTAACGATTTAAACAAACAGGTCAAATTTTGTCCCATCTAAGTTACTATCGTACACTAACGTATGGCATATATTTATAAATAAGTAGTGGAATGGGAGACATTTGACCAATTTTCATACCTTTCCAACATGATCCACGTAAGTTTTTTTTTTTTAAAGATTTATTTAAAATGACTAATCATATGTGATTGCTATTCTTGTATAATCAATCACTAATGTTTATAAATTATTGAAGGATTTCACCAGTATTGCTAGGTAATGTTGTCATCAAAGCAAGATTTCTGAGCCGTAACAAGCATATGCAAACGGCAAGATTTCCACCGTCAGTACCTTACATAGCCGTATACAAAGATAGATTGTTTAAGGATGTCGGAAATGATTCTGATATTTGTGGAAAGTTTGAATGGGCCATTGAAGTTCCTCAGATATTATCTGAATGAATATGCAAATTATGTGTTATGTCTTTCAATATAATATACTATTCCATACACCGACCACATTTCTTAAGCTTCCATTTTCATTGAATATCGCAAATTTCTAATCTACTCATAAAAATAAGATTCTAAAGAAATCACACTGGCAACATAATTATATGTCAATCAAATCCAGTTACACCAGCTAAGGGACATTGTGTAGACTTTATTGCAACCTACACTATATCAGAAGGAACATCGTGTAGAACTCACTACAACATCCACTATGTCAGACGCAACATGAATGATACATGGATTTTTTTCAAAACAAAATTAATTTCATATAATAACAACGCTATTTGTGATACTCGGTCACCTTTTTCTGAAACATGGGCCTCTATTACATTTGAAACAAAATGTTTTATTACAAAAACGCACAGCGAATCTTTCTCTGCTACTAGTACAGACCTTTACATGCCAGGAGGAAGATGGTATACAGCGCTTCCGAAGTCAAGAAGTTTGCTCAAGGCATCATTGAGATTCCTTTCCTTTATAAATCTTACAAAAGCAGGAATATTACTGCTCTTGGTGCAAACGATTTAAATGACTATTACAGATGTATGACAGCCACTTTTTGTACATGGAACTGCATCTGATTTCAAAGTGCCTAAAAGTTTGGATGGGCAAGGCATGACTCAATGTCATGTATATTTAATGGTTAATGAATCGTATGAAAAATATCTATTAACATAACTGGCCTGTTATAAAAGTAGATTATAAAGGTAGCTTACTCCACTGTCAGACCTAATTGTTTGGGTTTCAAACAGGATGCATGGCTTCGTGACATTTTATTCAGATTTAAATCGTGTATTAACTGTAGATTCTTGTGTTCTAAGCTTCTTTATTTTCGCCATTAGCATTGCTTGTTTACCGCGGTACCAAATCATCCACCGACCCACTAATCTATCTACCTGCCTATATACACACATGTAAGTAACTACTTCCCTATCGACAGCCATCTATCTACCTGTACAAGTATCTCCATATAAATGAATTCATACACGCATATAACCATACCTTAGATCTCGTCTACGTAACGTGGAACTTAACGTAAACCACAATAAGGTGTGCTATTATGGTTGGTGTTAGCATTTTAATTTTATTATTTCTTTCAATGTGCATAGAACATCATGACAAATTGACGTTAAAGGAGAACTACTGCTAAATATGAGACATTATAAAATTCCAGTTATGTCAAAAGAGTTGTTGTCCCTGTTAAAACACATCTTTCTGCCCCATAAAATACACGTCAAACATTCGACCGTCGTTGATAATCCAAGTAAAATTTCAGAGGTCAAAGACGGAGTCGTTGGTTTTGAGTTTTGTAAATAGCACAAATGAATAATGTTTATATATTCGAACAAATGCAACTGTAACATTGGAAGCTTATGATTCCACGAAACATGCGTATCATCGAAAACTCAAATCCAGAAGAAGATATGTATTTTGTAAACACTCTTTCTATATATACAGGATTA